TCTGATGATGACGAGTGAACATCGTCGAAATATCAATAATAAATCAAAATAATAGCACTGTGATTTGTATGAATCATGTTTGTAGCAGTTTTGTATTTCTTACTACGTTTTTTCAATATTACTGCTGTACCAAAACATTTTCGAGATAAATTTACTTAATGTTTTATCTAGTAGACATCCGTTTTTCAGTTTGACATATCAGAAATTAACAATTGATTTGACAAAGAAAAACAAAAAAACAATCTTTCAGACAGTAGTCTTCTCAAAACATTTATTTGTCCTATTCGTTAAATGTAATCTCGATAAATCACTGAGTTTTTACCTTGTTTGTGTGTAAGAATGCTGCCAGACGATTGAACTTTTCCCAAACGATTATATGCTGAGCGATTTGTTTGTAATAAATTCTATTTAAAAATAAGATAATAATAATAATATAGAAGTTCTCTATTCTATTATGTATGATTACTATTGAATTTACTTTATATTTTGTTGCATTAGTTACCGCTTGATTTTTTGCTTGTATCAATTCTTTTATATTCTCCTTCAAATATCTTAAATAAGAAATCAAAATATAAATATGGATGAAATAAGATAACGTATGATAGACATACCTATTCTCTGAAATAACTGATTCAATATCGACAACTCGTTTTTCATCTCCATGTAACATTTTATTTAATTCTTGATTTAATTTCATATATTTTGTTTTAAATGAATCACGTTCAATTTCTAATTCTTCTTTTTGACAAAGAATTAATTTTAAATCATTTTCTAACACATTAATCTTTAAAAAGAAGAGAAAAAACAACAGTACAAAGAATTTGAATATTAAAAAATATTTATTTACTCGTTCACTTGATTGTTCTAAATGTTTCAATAAATCTTGATTCTCATTTGTTGTAGTTGTTGTTGAATCTTCATCATTACCATTGACACTGGTACGTGATCTATGTCGTTTTTGACGAAAAATCTAAATTAAATATTATTTTCAAAAACAAAAATAAATAAAACAAGACATAATCTCAAGACATCAAACTTACGTACATTTAAATCACCACGAACATCAACTAATTCACGTGTTATTTCATCAAACTTTGTTTGTAATACTTCTTTTTCATCTTGAACGGTTTTCAGAGCATTTTTCATTAATTGAATTGTGCTCTAAAAAAATTATTATCAGTTATTAACTCGTTTACACATACAAACAGAACAGCTATCAAAGCAAACTTTGATCTGTTAAGTCGTGCATGAATTTATCTCATATTACGCATTAGCTCCATTCATAAATAATTCAGAAAAAATGTCGTTTTTATTCATTTTGTTAGTTGAACAACAATATCAAAATATAGAATTGGCAAAAATGTTTTTTCAGGAGGAGAGCTCAAATTGTAAATGATATAAAAATGAATTATATACCAAATTAATGCTCATCTAAAATGGGATTGATGAGTATAATTGATATTCCGTATGATGATTATTGACTGTAGAATTATGTGCATCATAATGAATGAGCCTCTCAGTATTTTCTATTTTTCTCGTGTTCCTTTAGGAACTCATGGTTAATGTTTTTTTTAAAAGATGCGCCATGAAATACTCTACAAAAACTATAGCTAAACTTTAGTTTTAGAACGTCAATCAAAAAAACTATGTAAATTATACGAAAGGCGGAAAAACTGAAAACTTTATATATTTGGTATTTTTTTTGACTTGAACTTTTTTCTTCTGCTATCATTTTCGTAAAAAGTGTAACAAAAGTGAGGACTCAGTTCTTTTTGTACTTTTTAATATGCTCTTTCCGTGGTCTGTAAAGAATTTGATGACCAGGATGGGACGGGAACAGTCCCGCAGACCTCTACTCCAGATGTGATTGTTTGAAAAAATTAGATCACCATTCTATGGTACAGAATGTGCACGTAACAGTCTATTTTTCCGTAAGTCAGTCACGTTCTTGTTAAGATTGTAATTTTGGGAGGGAAGGTTGTACAAAACTGGAAGACATCTCATTTTGAAGAACAAACATTTTTCTCTCAACTGGTAACCAGGCGCTCGTTAAGAATTGAACGCACCATTCGCAAAATGCGACATCTGTTTCAAAGAAATTAATCATATTAATAATCTATTCAGCTATCCACGTTCGTTTGACTGTCAGTTAAAAGACAAAATGTCTGTTCTTCAAAATGAGATATCTCCGAGTTCTGTACAACCTTACCTTGCAAGACTACAATCTTAACAAAAATGTGACTGACTTACGGAAAAGTAGACCGTTATACGTGGACAGGCCACGTATTCGAACGGCGTGAAACAGAGGAATGTGTAGGATACCACACTCTTTCAATATAATGAAAGGGAAGAAATTACACAGAATGTATTCGGTATGAGTTCGTGCGTGTATCACTCAAACATGATGTATCGTGCAAAATGAAGCAACGATTAAAAATTCTCCTGTGTAATAGATAAAAAAAGAGACATGCATCACCAACCTCGTCATGTCACGAACATTTTTTTTTTGAAATAATAAAAACAATTGAACAAGAATAGACGATATTAAACTTAATTTTTCAAAAACACGTACATCATTTGCATGCTCGTACCCCATTGCCGATGAATGATAGGCTAATGGATCATGCTAAAAATTACAAATATAAAATTAATAAAATTAGTAACAAAAACATTGAAAGATTGTACTTCATACTTGTATAGTGAGCTGATTTTTCAGTTGACCACACTTTTCTTGTAAATGATCAACAAGTGATTTAAATTGATTACGTTCATGTTTGAGTGCATCTAAGTCATTCATTATAATTGAAAATGCTTTTGTTTTACTATCGAGTTTTTTTTTTAGTACATGAACCTACAAAAAGAGAAAATTTCTAATGATAAAAAATAATTTAAATATTTAAATGTATTTTACTTCGTTGTTCAATAAATCGATTTGTTGTTTTAGACTCATAATAGTTGAAGTAATACGTTTAACTGATGTCTAAAAAATACAAATAAAACATAATCTTTTTTTCCTGAAAATATAAAAAATATTAGAAGCTACGAAATGACTATATCATATGTACAATTCCTGATCATACTAGTCGACAATGATAACAGACAATATAAGGTCTCTCGCATATACCATTATGCATGATTTGCTTCATCGTCAATTGAATGCTGTCTTTTTTCGATCACAGTCTTTCCGTTGTTCTTGCAGTACTCATTTGTCTTAGAACCAATTCAGCTCGTCATAGATGTATCATGCAAATTAGTCATTAGTCCTGTAAACTGTACTAGAACGTAAAGATCATTGTCGCTTAGAGTATAATAATCTATCCGAAAATTACTCAATCATACTGTGGAGCTAATTTAGAGAGAATTTGGCTAAAATATGCACAGACAACAGTGACTCATTGACAAAGTTTTACACAGGGAATGATCGTTATAGTCTAAGTACTTTTCCATTATCTTGTTCAATAAAAACTGTTCACACAAAAAAGAATTGCACATACAGCAACACAGATACACAGAAAATATTCAAAATCACAGTATTTACAAATACCAATCTCCCTGAGGAATTTTTGGTATGCACCGGGATAACTTGATCGTAGAAAATAGATCACAAGTATTACTGCAGACTTATACAGAAAATTTATCAATGTATGAATAATCATTTTTTTAAATAAAAGCGACTATACGTTAGATTTCATCGTGTAGTTGTTTAGATTGACTTTTTGCTTTTAATCTACTTTCGAGTACATAATATAATTTTTGTTGAACTTTTTTACAGCCTGAAACGGAATAGAGTGCTGTATCTGGTGGAGCAAACTCAATTAAATCAATAACATTATCGATAACAACATTTTTCTCAACTGGTGACAAAATGACTTCTTTTTCTTGTTGAATAATAATATCTAATTGACGTTGAATACACATACGAATATGTTCACGTTCTAATGGTAAAAATGGAACAAAAAATGTCACCAAATGTTTTTCAATTAATGATGCATGCCATAGACCGCCTAAATTTGATATAAAGATAAACATTAGATGTTTTTATCTTTACTAATTCAGATTATTAAGTTTATTGATTCTAAATAAAACAAATTTTACTAACTCAGAAATAATGAACACTACCTTCTTCGTTAAAAGCCGCATTCGATAACGCTTTTTGAAATTCTGTTACATTGTATTTTTCACGTTTAATCCCAGATGCATAATACTGTTGTGCTAAACGAATCATTGATGTTCCGCCGGTATTACTATAGATATCATAAAATAAAATTTGTGGCCATTATTTTATAATATTCTATGTAGACGAGTAAATTTACCTTAAAAATATGAATATTGTTTTTCGAAAATCAATTGGTTTTGTATAGCTTGGCATATGAAAATCAATATAGTAGATGATAGTATCGAGTAATTGTATGGGCATTTTATCAACTTCGTCAAATATAAATATCGATTGTGGACAATTACTTGTAGCCGTTTCAATATCATCTTTCAGTCGTTCCTAGAACATTCTTCAAACTATTACTTTAAAAAATGAATACTTTTTTTTATTCTTTTATTACTTACACCTTACCTTGTACGTAATTATATGTTCAGAATTATTGTGCATAAAATCACGAGATGATACGTAGAATCGAACATATTGACTCTGATATCCCTGTTGATATAAACTTTCAACAATATGTTTTGTAACAAAATTTTTGCCTAGAAAAAATAACAAATATAAAAAACTTTACAAAAATTAATTAAAAATAGTTTAATTTAAGAATAAAATACCGACCGATTACTACCTGTTCCTGTACTTCCATGAAATGATAATACTAAAGCTTTGGATGGATGTTTTGTTAATATATGTGAATTAATTGATCTTAAAACTAGATCATAAACCATTGGCTGACCAATTAGTTCATACTGCATTCGAGATTCAAGTACTAAATAAAAAGAAAGAGAGAATTAACAGAATAAGAAGATTATTAAATTATAAATTACCTGTAATGTTATTTGGCACCCATTGTTTAGAACAACATTCAAAAAAAATACAAAACGCGTTAAAAATACTAGAAAATTCAACCATCATTTAATCTAGAACAAACCCAAAGCACAACAGGAGTTGACCGACTAAATTATCTGTCTAGATCTTGTTGTTTTATTTATCAAAACACAATCGATCGGAATAATCTCACTTGGACAACTGACGTTTTTTTTTAAATATAAGTATGAGACAAGGACATTTTGTATAAAAAAAGTCTAATTATAAGACTTCGTTAAATACTAACTAAAGAATCATTTTATCTAAGTAATTTAATAAGAATAATCAGCTATACCTTATTGAGGTAATCCGTTGAAATATTATGTTCAAGAAGTGTTAAAGTAATCTTTAAGCTATTTCTCTACAAAACTCTGCTCATACTTGAAAAAGTACTACGGTTTTTGAAATAATTTAGTGCATATATGTCAGTATTTTTCAAATACAGTTATAATAGAAATGGTAAGCTAAATGAGCGCATAAATCTTTCAGAAATTTATCTAAATATGTGGTCTTAAAACATCTAGATTATACAGTAAAGTCTTCTCGTTAAAACGATAGGTAGCTGCATGTAATTTTGTAGTAAAAAGTTATCAGCATTCTTCTGTAAGCCCTAGAAATGCACCAGCACCAATAAATGTGCAATGTCGTTAACAGGATTGACGATGATGTCATTCATTACAATATATATCTTTCGCAAAGACTTAACACAGCTTAAAAAAGCTAAGACTAAAAGTTTTGAGACTAACAACGTTTATGAGAAAACTGCAGATATGTGACTGTTATTTAGAATCTTTCTTCAATCTTCAACTCAAAATGCACGTCAGAAGATAACGAACAAAAAATTTGACAAATTTTTGGATACCACTTAAAACGAGGAAAATATGCGTATTTTGTGCACGTGCCATCTATCGTATGCAAATCAGTTTCCTAAAGCGGGAGGAGACTCTTTGGCTCTTCTAAAAGTCTTTCTGATATAAAAGTAAAGACATACATGTTCCACTTAACAAAAGAAGCAACAATAATCAGATTCTTAAAAAACGTGTTATAAGGTGATCATAAATGCCACTTGATACACTTCACATTCGCAAATAAACTAAACAACAACAAACAAAGATACCAGAAAGTCAAAAAAGAAATTTAGAGTGTACTTGAAAAATTTTGAAAATGACAGCAATGGTAATGAAAATTCTTCTAAACAACGAGCAGCCGGTCAAACTGCATTAAAAAAGTATTTATAATTGAAACTTGTCAAAACGAGTGAGTGAGATATGGAAGAAAAACACAATGGTGATTACGATCTTCTTGAATTTTAGCGGAAAGAAAAGATCTCATAAGATTTAATGGCGGACGCGGTAAGAAGTTCACCAGGCGATTCCGCGAGGAAGCAAAAGGTTGTCCATTGTCCATCTTTGTTGTGTACATCTAAGAGTCAGACCTCAAGTGGATTTCTTGAAAATCGATTCCAGGAAACGTGAAAATTTGGGAAAGAAACTCGACGACTTTAGTAGTTGTTTTGTAGTAACTCTTAAATAATTGATAATTTGTTACTTTGCCAGCAATTGATCGTTGGGTAAACGAAATACGACATCATAGCGAATGCAAAACACTGGAGTAAGTGTTCTAATTTCAACGAAGTTATTAACAATACTAAGAAAAAATTCATCAGGGCGAGCTCTTCAAACTTCTTATTCAAAAAAATGAAATAAAAACACAATTTATAGCTTAATATCGTGTTTAAACACTCCAAAACGATAACAGTAAATAACAATTCTTTAAAAAACTATCTGAACATTAGGCAGTACCGAGTAATGAGATACTAATCATAATTTTCTTATCCATAACCTAAAAATACAACATATTTACTCTGATTCGATTGAAGTTTTCCACCTATTAAATGATCTCCATCCTTTTCAATTGGTAATTAAATGGACAATACAATTTGTTTTCTTTCACATGTTAAAGTCTACAAGTAAATGAAATTGAAGTTGAAAGAGAGCGATTGACGGTCGTATGCATATCTCAAACTATTTTTAAAGTTTTCATGAATCAAACCAACAACTCACATGAACTTGACATCTGAAAAGAATAAAAATACTTATGCTAATACAACATTGTTGAACACTGCATTATCTTAATCTCTTTCAATTTAATAAAGACGACACAAGAGAACATGGAAAAACACGACTAAAATGATCAATAAAAGTCTTCCGTCATTCTTTATTTTTGAAAGCAAGCTAAACGAGAAGTATCCAAGTATAATACACTAGAAAGAAAATGTAGTCGAGAGCGATCTGAAAGAGTTTCATAAATTTTCTTTTTACCGTTTAGTATAACTGAGCTTTGCAGTAAGATTATGCGAAACTCTAACAGAATAGAGAGAAACTAACATATAGTATTCTATTATAATTATTGTTTGGAGTTTTCTATTTTTCGATTGTTATTTGAAAAAACAGTAAAATGAACCAAAAAACGTGAAGATTAACAACCGGTTGGGATAAGATAGGCGCAAAAGCCTAAAATTCCACAATCAACGTTAAAAAGAATAAAGAATGGGTTGATTGTGGAGTTTTGGACCTTAGTACCTCTCCTCATTTTTCTGATTCGTTTATTTTTCTCAAATGGGGTACATAGAAAATCTGACTTTTTTTTCCTGCAAATCAAAAGTAATAAAAAAGGCAACTTCTATTCGATATTCATACTGATATGACTTATGTTATACAGAAGAACATCAGGAGAGAATGGGAAAAGGAGAAAGAAAACGATTAATTCCAAGAATAAAGTTATCATCATCATTGATCCAGTCGGCTTTTATTTCATATTAGTAAGAAATTCTAATTATAGTACTAGCCGAACAGAACAATGAAGATACCCAGGTCCAATTTTATGACTGCGGTAAACGACCGTACATTTTTACCGTTAGAGCGTGAACATATTCGTATGTGTATTCAACGTCAATTAGATATTATTATTCAACAAGAAAAAGAAGTCATTTTGTCACCAGTTGAGAAAAATGTTGTTATCGATAATGTTATTGATTTAATTGAGTTTGCTCCACCAGATACAGCACTCTATTCCGTTTCAGGCTGTAAAAAAGTTCAACAAAAATTATATTATGTACTCGAAAGTAGATTAAAAGCAAAAAGTCAATCTAAACGACTATATTTTTATAATATAAAGATTTTATTATAAAGAATCACTATTAAGTCTCTTGCGAGCAGATTTGCTCGAATAATCTATGGAAAAACTGGAAGATTCTTTTCTTTTTTTCGTGAATTCCCGCAACGGAAACAACACACGTTCTATTCGTGATCTCGAGAGGTACTTTTTACTGATATTTTTACACAGATCATAGGCATGTTCTCCTTTTCTTGAGTATTCCTGCGAGATCAACAAACTGATTCGTATTCGTGTCCTTTTTTTTAAACTTGTACTTGTTTATTAAAAAATAGTTGTGTTTAACTTTAACAAACAAACGCAGCTATGCTTGCAGACAAGTCTATGTTGCATAGTGCATAAAACGCTCAACCAAAAAACCTAGCAAAACTACATTTTTTTTTCTTTTTTTTAAACATGCTACTTGAGTACAACAAAATGGACTAATGGATAAGTGCATGTCGGTATGCAATCATATGAGATTAGAAGAAGTAGGGAAGGGGGATAGTTTGCGTTTCAGACTGGAGTGCAGGGAAATCAAGAAAAAATATGTTTATCAGTCATGCATAACAAACCGCTCTGTTTGAGCAACAAAGTTAATGACACCTTTGAATACAATCTTAATTTCTTCAGGTGATAAAGAATTTTGCAAAAGTAGAGTTTTCAAGTCGAAATTCAAATGAGGCAGATCCAGCTGAAATATCGAGATTAGAGCTAATCGCGCGGTGTCATATAATGGACATTCGAAAAAATAATGAAAAAGATTTTCCTCTGTTACATTGTCGCACGAGCAAAAAGAGTCAGAAACAAGACCACGAAGATGCAGGTCCCTCCTCAACTGTGAAAATCCGGGGGGTTAGCCAACGTTTCAGCTCTTATGATGATTCTTTTACTAATCGGTTAAACAAATGTGTTAAAACGAAAATTGAGAATATAGAAGCCTATATAGACCACTACATTTTCATCATACAGTGCCACTTTTTTCGCTATCAATTTTTCGCTAGTCTGTTGAAAAAGAATATTCGAAATGCGTTCATACTAGCCAGTTTTTTGTCATCTTTTTACTTTCCATTTTAAAAATAAAATCTTTCAAAATTAAAACCTTTCAAAAATAAAACCACTCAAAACATCACAAAAAAACCTTCATGTTTTCAAAAAATAAGATCTATCAAAAATTGACAAAAAGGTCTTCATCTTTTCAATAATATACTGCACGTACTTCAAGGTAACATATTCCACTTACAAGATCGACATCATCTTTGCATTTTCAGCATTTTAACATACGGCCAGCCTGATCTGTTACATACTGTTTCCGCATCTGTAATCTCAAACACCCTCACCCTCACCCTCAAGCCAACTGAGTAAAACACCGCCCAACAGATAAGTCTTGTAGCGGGAGAGGCGTCCAATGCCACTGCCAGCTTACGAAATTTAAAGACGCTATGCAAGTTTGGAAAATAGAGTTTACGTTTGGGTCGATACAGATATCCGAGGAGAACGCCACACTTTGTGATCACCTTTATGTTGAATGCAGTCGCATTTCGATCATAGATTTGTTCAATCGTCCGTATGTACATTGATTTCTGAGACTACTGCATATACTCGATGGGCGATACATCAAGCTTTTGGACAATACATCGTAGTGTGAGAATACTGAACGATTGAAAGTGATAAGGAAGACGACTATGGGAATGATGCTGTTGGCACGACGGCAATCTGATATAAAGATGATCGGGATGAAGAGCGATGGATATCTCTAACCCTTTCACTCGGTTAAGTGTGTATCCAGATGAAAAAGGACCTGAAAACAAGTTAAGTCGTGTATTCTGTCTTGTTCCACTTGATTTTCACCGAGTTCGACTTGGAAATACTCGCGATCAAATGAGAACCAACTGACTCTAGCAGCATGTTCATCCATTTCAAATCCGTTGAACCTGTCCAGCTGAACAACAAACTTATCAAGATTCAAATGAAACGGACCTGCAAGTGCGTTATAGACTCGAGTATGACATTGCAATAAAAATAGAACGAAAATACATAACTGACCGAGGTGATCTTGAATTGTATGGTTAATGAAGAGTGATGGCCAATAGATCATATGGAACAGATACAGAAGGACATAGGCAAGACCTTTTAGGCAAGAGATGCTAATTTGTTACTTTGTGACTAGTAACAAAGTAACAAATGCTCGTTACTTTGTTACTTCTGGTAAAGTAACAATAAACAAGTTGTTTTTTGTTTGCTCATAAAAACTTTTTTGGAAAGCTTTTGTGAGGATGAGGATGAAATACGTGTTAAAAGATGGTGGAACGTCTGATAAAGAAGTATCTGAAATATTTGTTAGCTATACAAACAAATATTTCAGTGGTCCACTTTGAATCATAAAGCCACTAGCAAGGAACCCTGGACTTCGTTCCGGGTTTCGCCTCGCACCAGCTCGGGAAGATTCAAGAAGATCTTGGTTTTTATCCTGTTCACCCATAAATTTCAGTACAGTCACTTTCGAAGCCAAGATGTAAAACTCCGGTAATGCTTTCATGTTCGAAAAAGCCAAAATCTTTCACTCGGTTTTCTTTCCATGTGACATTAACCGCGTGCCGGCACAATTCGCGAAGGAATCGGTTTCAGTTCCTGCTACGTAAAGGAATGCAAGCGCGCACCCATTCTCAGGCACGTAGCCGGGAATTTTCTTGCGAGAGCAGCCCGACTTCCTAAGGGGGGCCCACCATGTGGACAACTTTTCCGCTTGCGCGAAATCGCTTTCTTTTCCTCATGAGCTAGAGAGGTGCGGTTTTCACCATTAGTGTTGTTAGGAAGTACTCTACAAACCTAGAAAGGTCTCATCGCTTGCGCCAAACTTTTGTATATCGTGGTATGTTGCTGGTGGATGCACCCATAGTCAAAAACAAGTTTCTCGCTCTTTTGAAAGAGGCGGTATTAAGTGGTAGAAGCCTTGAATACCGCATACCGTACCGTCTCGCCCTTCTTACTTTTTTCCTCTACCATCTCGTACCGGCACGTACGGTACGGTATTGATACCGCGTACCGTCTGTCTCGGCTATATATTATTAAGGGCCGCCCTGTCATAAAATCTTTTTCGCCCAGAACACCCGATCTGATTGAAAGTTTCAGGGAATGTGTGTCCTTGTCTCTGTAGCTTACAGTAAAATTTTCAGCTCAAAATATTGAGTTTTTCAAGAGCTATAATAGCATCAAGGGTCAAAAAGTAGGCGTCCGCGTGTCCCATTTTCTCCCTCAAATCTAATGGTACAGATGTCGCATTGGTGTCAAGATGTAGCTAACACTCGCTGCTACAACCTAATAGAGCTCGACTTTTTAAATTGCTCTTTGTTGATCTTTGGCATCAGAAAAGTTTGGAAAAAATAGGCTACCATTGTGAGAAAAGGTGCACTCATCTCAGGAACTAAGTCAAAGAAAAATCTGCTCCATTAGGTTGTAGAGTGCAATTTTCTCTTCAATGTAAAGCCAACCAGAGCTTTCTAGCATGTAAAATGGCTGAGAAATTTGGGACGCACGAACTGGTAAAAACCGAAAAAGTCATTTTTAGAAAAACGCAAAACAAGTTCTGACTTAAAACTTTTTTTTCTTCATCAGGTGTTATAGGAAAAACCTGAGAATAGTTTGGATTAGGTTATCGGCTATGGCGCATCGAATGCATACATGCAAAAATACGTCCGCGATACTTTGGCAATAGCTGTAATTACCATTTTTCTGATTGTGAGTGTTTCTGAGTGTTTCAGAAAAACAGCTGTAAAACCCTTAAAAACCATCGCAAAATTAATAAACTATAGTGCGTTCGAAAGTAGGAGAAATATAATTTATAAAAAAAAAGAAAAAGAAAGTAGGAAATGCGGGCTATCCAACCAGCCATAAAGCTCGAAAATCGATGTTTTTGACGAAAATGACATTTTCTCACAGGGAGGGGATCCTTAACCAATACCATGAAACGCGGCAGCGAGATTGAACTGTGCATTCTTTAAAACTATTTTATTTCAAAGGAATATTCATGTATTATTTCGTTTTCGACTAGATCGATTGCTGATAAAGCAAGAGTTGAGAATAACAGATTGATTTGTCTTCTTCCTCAAGAGATAGGTCGATATGTTCATGAATTGATTTACATACTCTGTCACCGTCATCCTCGCACACTCATCATCATGTGGCGTAAAATCGGATGGATAAGATTGTTCCTAGAAAGTTTTCCTTCAATGAGTTTCTTATCGATATCATAGTGTAATCATTTCTTTATTTATTTTAGTCCAGTCTATTTTGCCACAGCAAGAAAAACCAAATCAAAACCTGCAAGAGAAAAAAACAATGCATCGATTCTGGTGTTTCAGCATACGGCAGTTGCTAGGAATGACATGGATTGTTTTAGCCGATTATGGAGCCAACTCCAGATTCAGACGCTAAACGAGAAAAATAACATGTACAATTCTTGAATTACCAACAGTGTACTCTGCTTGACAGTATAAATCTCGTATCTGGATAAATTTGTGCATCATTAGTCTTTGGTAGAATAAACTTCGATGCTAAAGCACGAGTGACTATATATTCGTAGATTGCTCCTGACATAACATGAAATCGGAAAATCTTTGCTTACTCATTATGAACTTTATGGAAACAATATTATACAGCGTGTCACATAAATAACTATCCGATAAAAAAATTCGATATTTCCACTCTGCTTCATTCAATTTGGCTGATTTTCTCCATAGTTATAGAGGACACTTTAGAACTTTTTTCATCCTAAAACCGTTAACAGATGCTTCTTTGAACTATTAGTTTGAAATAAAATACTGAAATGTGAGGTGGCCGAAAATAGTAAACTAGTATTTGAGTTTTCTTGCCGTACGTGTACAAAAAATAAAAGACAGTTATCTGATGCCTACTGTACCTGTCCTTCGCTTGAGTGCTTTTTATTCCCTCGCTCTTTTGTCTACATTGTTCCCTATGATTTACTCGATTCCGACGCTTCCTTCACAGTCGAAAACATAAATAAATTCAATACAAGTGAAAAAACCTAAATGAAAGACTGTTTTGTGAAACATTTACCCGGTGCAAAATTAATCACTGATTATGAATCAATGCCTCATTTTTGTAACTTGGTTCAACCATCAGCTGTTCAGCTTGCTCTTGACGTATCACACGGTGGGAATGTGAATACAGATGACCACTCTTGTGGAGGAGTCGCGATTCAAAGATCTAGGTGGATACTACTTCGACAAAACAACAGTACTGTGAGTTCGCGGGTGGGGGAAGCGTCACGTCGAGCAGGCATTGGTGGAGCGTGCATTGCTTCAGATCTTGTGTGGTGGTGCAGGAAAGATGGTCTCTTAGCCGATCACCTGAGTAGTTGGAACGATGCCAAGGAACGTCTCAGGCAAGGCTGTGTCGTGTTTACTATTTTGAATGGTGTGCATTGGGTGACTGTCATTGGTGTGCACCAAGGAAACGTTTATGTGCTTGATTATGACGGTCTATTTTCAGTACCTGAAAAGGATTATGTGGACAATGTTAAACCAGCAAGCATTTTCGCCCCCGGATGTATGATGTGGGTAGACGCCTCTCCAGATCATCCAGCTCGTGTGATGGAAAGACTAGCCAGGCCCAATACCACTCTGATTCATCTTGGTGGGAATGGTGGAAGCTTTCGGGATATTACACATGCTGGTGCGGGGCAGGTGATGACCATCAAAGCTGGTGCGATTGTTGACAGCATCCAAATTGGTAGCACACGCCATGGTGGAGGAGGTGGCGTCCGCACAGTTACTTGCACAATCCCTGCCTCTGGTGTTATCCGTCTGTATCGAGTGGAAACTGCTACATGGGAAGATAGTACTCCAGTAATTAATGGTCTCGTGTTCAGCATCGGCGATCATTCATATGTTATTCACGGCACACACGGTCACAATGTTACAACTGTGTTTAACAATCATGCAGGCGAAGATGTGCAAATTGTGTCAGCAAATTCAGGTACGATGTTAGATGGGATTATCTTCAGAAAACCGTAACGCGGCAGAGTGTGTCGTTGTGCCGTATGCACCGAGATTGAAATCATTGCTACTAGTTTTGATGGGAATGATGCGCATGTGTTGTGGTGCTATGTAAGCTAAGTTAACATTTTCTAATAAATCAGGACAGTTTTTCTTTACAATCGTGTATAAATACAACACGACAATTATATCGAAAGCCAGACAACAAAACAACTTTAACATGAATGACACACGTTGCTCACAAAACCTTTTCAAATCTCACATAAATACAGTTGATCACACACATAACAACACCTCTGTTCAACAAAATCTGTACAAAAAAAAAAAAAAGAATGAGTAGTTTCTCACACACGAATGTTTTGCTAAAATCAAACTTTAGAAAAAACCTGATGATGATGATGATTGATCAGACATAGTGAATATAAAATATCCTTGCAAGGTGGAAAAAGGTACATGCAGAAAATTAGGAATCACACTACTTGAAGCAGTAATCTACAGCGGTTGGAAATATTTTTGACTGATTGTGTAGAATTAATTAAGAATTTTGAAAAAATGCTAACTTAGCATACAAATTTACTTGATGATGAACGTAATCTTTTGTACATCTTCGGGCCCTTTGATCCTCAATGTCTTGTCTATTTCATATTCCTTGTTGTTTTCAATCACGGAATTAGTGAATAAGGTAGTAAGTGAAGACAGGCCCATGACATAACTTCTACGTCTCCTAGGAAATTGTCGAAAGAATGGGACGAAGGACAGACATTCGACATGATTACGTAATCATGTCGAATGTCTGTCCATCGTCCCGTTCTCTCGACAACGAAGTACACTAATCTATTTCATATATTTAATATTTTCTCATCTGTATATGCCACTACACGTATACGGAAAATACACAGATCTGCTGTAACTGCTGTGAATAAAACACTGAGCAATGGTAGTCATCAACTAATAGAGTAATAATTATTATTGTATAGGAAACTTGACACTATTGTTGAAATTTAGAATGTAGTCACTAATGTCAGATCAATTTTTTCGTTTTGTAGCCGACATTCTATGCTATTCGCTTATGATTAGTTAAAAATTTCAACTGCACTTAGAGCTCCTATTAAAAATTTTCAACTGCGATATCACGCTCTTCCCATAGTAAGTTATTTATCCTTGAAAATAATGTGAGAGAACAAAAATATATGCTCATTCTAACCATATTTTTCTACGTAACAATCAGCTATGTCATCACCTTATTTACATGTGTGCATAAT